ATTATATTTCACATATAAAATGGCTTTCAAAGTCTCAACACTTAATTGTGATTTTTCTGATGTCCACACCTTATTTACTGTAGATAAAACGCGTTCAGCCACATCATTAGTTCCTGGTAAGAACAGCGGGTATCCCACAATTTTTAGTGCATTATTGTATGGAACATGGTTTGTTTCAAGATGATGAAATATTTCTAAACATTTGTTCTCTATTGTGATTTTTGCTGATGCCCAAGAGTTAACCTTTTCCTTATCAATATATTTTTTTAATAATGATACCTTGTAAGTCGTAAGTCACTTTCAAGGCCGGCACTAAAGTTTTTGCCGCCACTATAAAATATAAATAATATGAGTACTGTCTGCTAAATTCATGAAATAAATAAATAAATTACCTGAATTATCTGAATAAGCTGATTTGTTGACATCACTTCTTTAACTAGCACTAGCATGCAGTACTATGTGTATCGTCTGAGAGACAGTTACAAAATGTTTTCGTGGTTGCCAATGCCAAAAAATGCCATTGTTCATTAAGTCCAAACAATGGTGGTCGAATTCTAACAACTGATCAACAATACGAACTTTGATAAGCAGTTCTCGATAATCAGTTCTCAACAATTATTTGTTATTGTTAAAGTTTGACATTTATAAAATTAACAAAAATAATATAAAACTCATATCCTGGCGAAATAGCCACATAGCAGCGTTGGGACCAGAATTGCCACTGAGAGACCAGCACACACAGGTAAAGACAAAAAGTGCTTTATTTTGCAAGCATATGCCTGGGCCACTCTTCCCTTCAGCTTGGCTGGAGGAAGGGCGAACCCCTACTGAAGCGAACTGAGGTTTTTAAAGCTCGTAGAGGAATTGCAGAGAGGAATTTCATCGGGTGTTTTGTTGGGCGGACTGCTATTGGCTGAGCTGTTTATGGTTAGGGACCCTCCAGAGAGGCGGGCTACTTCTTTGTTCCAGACAGTTTGGCTCCTTCTGAGCTAATTGTCCTTGCCTAGAAGCAAGGGAGGGAGCCAGTCTCCTTCTGATACCAATTCCACCTGGAATTCCAGGAAAGTAGGGAGTTTACATTAGCCTTTTCATTTCCAAATGAAGTTACATTAACCTCTTCATTCCCAAATGGAGTTACATTAACTTTTTCAGCAGCTGAAAACCATATATTCCCTTCCGGTTGTCCAGCCGTTCCCTAGCTTGTCATGCATTCTTTCCAAAAGTAGGGACTTTTTTACAATGCCGCAGGACACGGGACAAATTGTTGAAAATTGGGACTGTCCCGCCAAAAGCAGGACGTCTGGTCACCTTATGACCTAAACAGCCTTTTTATTATGTTAAAACATGAGTTTTTTTTCTATTGGAAGAGACATCAAAGAAAATTTGCTCTTAGATCTCATTATAAAGGACTAGGCACCCTTAGGAACAAATACAGCAGTGAAACCCCAGGGAGTTAGTCCCAGGGTATACATTTCACAATTAAAGGAGCAATTAAGGCTCTGTGCACCAAGGCTGGCGGATTAGAACCTGACCCAGGCTAAACACAATGACAACTGCAACAACAACAACAACAACAAAATAGCCGGGCATTGTGGTGGACATCTGTAGTCTCAGCTACTTGGGAGGCTGAGGCAAGAGAATCGCTTAAGCCCAAGAGTTTGAGGTTGCTGTGAGCTGTGACAGTACAGCACTCTACTGAGGGTGACATAGTGAGACTCCATCTCAAAAAAATGAAATAAAAGGGCAGCACCTGTGGCTTAAAGGAGTAGGGCACCGGCCCCATATATTGAAGGTGGTGGGTTCAAACCCAGCCCCAGCCAGAAAGTGCAAAAAATAATAATAAAATAAAATAAAGAAGCAATTAAGAATTGACACATCTAGAAGGCTACTCCAACAGATAACTGCAAACTGGAGATTCTCCAGGATATTATGTGTACAACTATACACCTGTTCAAAGTCTTCAGAACAAATGAACTTGGATAGTGGATAGCCTCTGCCTAAGAAGTCAGACCAAGATCTCTATAGAAATCCTGTTTTGTTTTTCATCTTATTGTTTATAGTCATTTGTATTCTCATTTTCTATAGACCCCTAGGTGTCATCCACCCACAATGGGTCTTTTCTCTTTTCTTTCATCTTTATTATAATTGTTAAGTCAGACTCATTCTAATGGCATTCTTGAATTATTCCAAATAGTAGCCACTACCCTAATCTTACCAATATTGGATATGGTATCCAGCACCACACCACCGTGGTAAATGCACCTGAGTGATTCTGATCTCATCAAAAGAGACATTTATAAAATTAACATTAAATTTAATGTTAATGGCTTTTATTTTTTATTTTGTTATTTTTTTATTTATCCCCCTACAACAGTGGTTGTCAACCTTTCTAATGCTGTAACCCTTTAATGCAGTTTCTGTGGGTCATGACCCACAGGTTGAGAACTGCTACCCTTCAGGGATAAATGACCTCAAATAAATCAACTTGTGATTTTACTAGTGTGCCTCTCTCCCAGAGAAAGGACCAATTAGTACAATCTGTTGCTCAGACTCCAGTAAATTCTAAATTTGAATTTAGCAGCCTTTATATGGTAATGGGTTAGTTACTTATCACCTGGAAGTAGCTAAAAGAGATCCAAATATGTAACATGGTTAATGTAAGGCCTTGGTTCTAATCCTAAATTATGAACTATTCCTTTTTTTCTGGATCTGTATATTCTTCTACTGAGTTCACTTCCTTTGTAGCCAGGATACTTGATCTTGCTAAAATCTAATGCAGTTGAAAACCACACTTACCTATATA